TTCCAAATACCTGAAATTTCCCTAAGTTCTAATCTGGAGAGTACACAAACAAGAAAATTTTACAGTGATATAAAATGGACAATGAAGTCATACAATTTTGGAACTTAATTAACATTAAATTAAATTAAATATAATTGAATGATGGGTGTTATTTATATTTTAATTAAGGTACTTTTAAGAAGAAGAAAAGATTTCTCAAAATGTTGCACGAAGTAATACAAGAAGTGAAGAGCTGTGTGAGTACTATTTTTTCACAATTTGGCTCCATAATCACTGAATAACTCTTTCTCCAATACCTTTATTTATTTCTTTGCAATGCTAATTTGACTTAACAAGGAGCTGTGGCCCTCGGTTGGGATTGGCAGTGAAACTTGTAAAGCCCACAGACTTCACCCTATCCAGGTTTGTTTCCTTTAAGAAAGGGCATAGGGCGAGAACCCTGCTCTGACGGGTGGGGTTGCCGGCTCGCTGGGTCTCCGGGTCTCTGGGTCTCTGAGGTTGCATGAGTCCTCTCTGCAGGCCACAGGGTCTGTGAGGAGCGGTTCCTGAGAAGGCAGGCCTGGGTCCACAGCCGTGGCCTCTATTGCCTGGGAAGCCACAGTGCAATCCACATTAGTAAAGATGGCCTCCAAGGGGATGGCCACGTGGTGGAGGCCTGCGGCAGGGTCGCCCGCGTCTCCAGGGGCAGATCTTCTGGCTTCCTCTTTCCATTCCCTGTGCAGAGTTAGTACCCACCCGGGGACCTGCTGTTAGTTACCCCCTCCCTCCCTACTTGAAAACAAAAGAAAAAAAAAAAAGAGAAAAGAAGAAAAAGAGAAAAGAAAAGAAATAAAGTACACAGTTCAGGTAAAAACAACCTTTTCAGAAGAGCCTAGCAAAGGTCTCCCAGGATGACATTCTGATCTCCCCAGGTCAGGCAGCACCTGGGACACGTGGTCATGATGGATGAGGCTGAGTTGTCTCAGACCTTCTCAGCTCAGGACAGCCCGCAGGTCACGGCCCCTTAAGGTTTTCTGCTTTCTTGGTCACATTGCCTCCCGACTTTCATCCCAGGTGCATGCTGCTGGCCCTCATTCTTCTGTGTCTAAGCCTTATAAACCAAAAATACAATTCTAAGCCCCTCTTCCCCAACACCACCACCAGCAGCCATCTGCAGGGACCCCTACTCTCGGCCAAGGGCATTCCAAAGTTAACCTGAAAAACTAGTTCAGGCTGTGATGGGGAAGGGGGGTCCGACATGCCTCATCATTCTCTCCTCCCTTTTGGAATTCAGGCACAGCTGACCGGCATTAACATTAAAACAGATCATAAGGCTGACAAAACAGACTCTTTATAGCAATAAGATACAAAATTTTAGTATAGCACCAAATGACAGATAGAAGGCCCTGAAAGAAATTGAAGTAGTTTACCCCACATTATGTTTCTTTGCTGTGTCTTGAAATAGTCCTGCAAAGCTGTCTCTTGGAGGAGAAATCTACATTCTGAAGAGAATCCTCCTCCTTTTCTGGGCCTTTTTCCTGATCCAGGAGAGTGTCAGCTCTGATAGGAAACATTTACAATCTATTCTTTCTGTTGTTTTTTTTCTTTTTCCAATTAGGAGCCTATAATACTTTGAAATATATATTTGCTCCTCAACCCTGTTTCCAAGCATACAATTCGTAAAATCCTGAGAATCTACAAAGTGATGTTTTTGTGTGTGCTAGTGAGTTGACTGGTGGCTGGCAGCTCCTAGTTCGCTTCAGGGCTGGTCAGCAGAAAGACCAAAGTGGGATTAGAGGCTTGGGACTTTCAGCCCCTCCAAACTGTGGAGGGTTGAAGGTTAGGCTGATCACCAATGGCCAGTGATTTAATCAATCATTTCTACATAATGGAGCTTCCATAAAAACCCAACGGAGTGGCATTGGGAGGGCTTCCAGATAGCCGAACACTGTCTGTCAAGCCGGTTCACCCGGAGAGGGTATGGAAGCTCTGTGCCCCTTCCCCACACCTTGCCCTATGCATCTTTTCATGTGTATCTTTTGTAATATTCTTTAAGGTACCTTCAATATACCTTGACATGTTTTTCTGTGTTTTATGAGCCAATAGACATGTTTTCCTGAGTTTTATGAGCCAATAGACATGTTTTCCTGAGTTTTATGAGCCAATAGACATGTTTTCCTGAGTTTTATGAGCCATTCTAGTAAATTAATTAGACCCAAGGAGGGGGTCACGGGAACCCACAGTATATAGCCAGTAGGTCAGAAGCACAGGCCACAACCTGGGGCTTATGATTGGCATAGAAAGGAGGCAGTGTTATGGGACTGAGTCCTCACCTTGTGGGTCTCACACTTTCTCCAGGTAGACAGTGATGGAATTGAATTGAATTGGAGGACACCTAGCTGGTGTCCACTGCATGACTGATTGCTTGCTTGGTGTATGAGGAATATCCCCCACTCCCACTCCCTCACACACACATTTGATCACAGAAGTCTATGGGTTTTGTGGGGTGAGAGCAGAAGAAAAATGGTTATGTTTCTTCCGCTCAGAAAATCCTACTGTGTTTTTTTTCTAATAATTGTTAGGTCGGTTGTCACAGAGTTCAGAAGAATTTATTTAAAACAAAAACTAAAGTTAACCACATCTCAACATACCATTTCCCATTGCTTCCTACCCCATCTCATCAAATGCACGTTTTAAATATTTATATTTACTCACTCTGCTCTGCTTCCCAGACATACACCATGTACTAAGATATAGACTTTGGAATACTTTTTCTACCTCTTTCCATCAACCAATATGTAGATTTTGCTTTTGGTTATAAACCAATATAATAATTTTCCTTACTGTATATTTCTTATATTTAAAAAATTCGTAGTTATAACTTATATTGCACATCAACAAACTTCTTACACTATTTAAGCTTAAGTATATGTATTTCATATGTGCATCCATACTTAAAATTTGAAGACATATATGTTCACTACCCATCCTGTTTTACCCTATTTCTTCTATCTAGAGGTT